GGAAATACAAATTAATACCATATTGAGATTTATATACTCTTGGAGTTACCTAAAATCATCCATGTGACAATATCCAGTGTTGTAGATATATAGAGAGCAGCTGGATCCCTTCTGGCTATGAAGACCTATAATACTATCTCTAATCAAGAGAAAATACCAGTAAGGCAGAGCCTAATTGTTTAAAGAATAGATAGATGGAACAATGCAATCGATGGGCCTGTAAACAACTAATAGATGTAAAAACAAACAAACAAAAAAAGAATAGTACACCCACTTTGGAAACTGGGAGTTTCTCATAAAATCAAGCATATATTTAACCCATGTGACCTAGCAATTATACTCCTAGACATTTATTAAACAGTAACATACACCAAAATGCTCATATGAAAATGGTTACACCAGCATTATGCATAATATCCTCAAACATAAAACAAGTCAAACGCTGATCAGTATTAAGACATATAAACAATTTGAGTTATATCCATGTACGTAAGCATTGCCTAGCAAAGAAAAGAAATGAACTATCATTACTTGTTTTAACCTGGATAGATCTGATAAACTTGAAGTTGAACAGAAGAAACTAGTCACAAATGAGAACATACTCTATCAGCCCCTTCCTGTAAAGGTTGAAAGCAGGATTGGAAGATATTCCCTATGGGGAAGACTGAGGATAGTGACTGGCAGGTTCACAGAGTATCCTATGGAATTGAATCTCTTCTTCCCTTTGACACAGACAAGTTCACTTTGTGATAGTTCACTGATAATTCGTATCATTTGCTCACTTTTCTTAGTATATGACACATTTTGAAAATATTTGAAAAAAATGTTTTCATGAATAAAATTATGTATCGAATTGAGGTTAAAAGTTTAAAATTATCCTATTACAAGTGTTAGGTAAAGGTTTACAAAAATAGTGAGGAATATACAGTCTTGTCAGCAAAAGTATTTTTATGATTGCACAATCCATAAATAAAATAAATAATATAGAATGATATCAGTAATAGTAATATACAAAACAGCATAGAAAACATAATTGTTTAATATGGTTACATCATCCTCTTTTTTGTTTTTGCATTTCTATTTTGTCTGAGCTTCATCCAATGTAATCTATTTTACTGTAGTTGGTCATATACTTAATTCTAAAAATATGAGTATATATACATATTTATACATATGATAACATTTTCAAGGAATGATGTCCTCACATATCTACCATGATGAGGAATTTGTAAGCAAGCACTCTACAAATACATCTGAGAAATTACATTGTAAATCAAAATTTTACTTATCTAAGCAGTGAGCATATATTAAATTAGAGATAATACCATGCTATTAAAAGGATCAATAATGTCACAAAGACTCATGTTATAATCATGATTATATATTTATTAGTTGTCTTACTTTGTTCAAGTGTTTAATCTTTCTTCTTCTTCTCTTTTTATTTTTTTAATAGTACTATAGATTGAACCAAGGGACTTGTACAAGGTAGGCAAGCATTCTACCATTAATGTACACCCCAATTCTCCTCATCTATTCTACAAAAACATGCAGCAATTCCCCTAATTACTAATATTATGATGAGTAAATTAACTATCAGACCCAAGAGTACTTTAACACATGCCTGACACATAGTTGATTAATAAACACTACCTCTTTATCCAACTCTTCCCTTGTTATTCTGAATAACTGTCACCTAGGGTAGGAAATGATGTTTGTATGAAACCCTACCAAGAAAAGAGTGGAAAGATAGTTCTCAATACCTAGAACACGCAATGTACCTCCCTGTTACAGTCTTCTTCAAATATAAATAACATTCCCTGGCCTTTTACATACCATGACACAGATTTATTTGGACATTATTTAATGTAAGTATTTATTTTAGGATTCTTACACTATTGGGTTAACTCAGCAACATTGATTTATAACATGCAATACATTTTCAAATTCTTTCCCCCTCTGTCAACAATATGAATTGTGTCCATGAGAGCTGTGGCTGAAATTGTTATTTCCCTAACTGCTGGTGACATTTTGAAGATGGAAAATATTGACATATCCTATCGCCAACTTGCATTCCTGTTTCTTCCATTATGACACATAAACCTGAAAAATAGCATCATGGCATTATTTGAATAAAGAACCCCACTGCCTCATGAATTACATCTACTCCCTGCCCATTTCTTGCTTGTTGCATTTAACCTGCCTATAGACTCTGTGCCTAGAAGAAGCCATTATGTCTTGCCAAATTATTCACCAGGGTCAACTCTGTGTTCAAATTGCCTTTTCATCTTTCTTAAATTTTACAAAAGGATTTTGGCTTCTTTCCGCTTCAATTTCCTGGTAGCATTACTATTCATTTTTTTATATTTGACATCCCTACAGTGGGTCTGGATTAATGGCCAGCATGATTTGCTCATGTTCTCCCAGCCTTCTGCTCTTGATTGTGAAATTATAGTGGTTTTTTTTATTCCTGCGAAGAAATTAGAATGTGTGCAGTTGTTCAAGTGCCACATTAAAATCACACAACTAAATGAAAAATTAAACTATATTATTTCAAATCATAAACCTCCATTCTCTGGCAATAGTATTGATACTCTGATATTTTTAACATAGTTTAGTGGAAGTGAACCAAAGGTAAAAATTTCCTTTGCATAGGAAATCATCACCTCTTCCCCAAAACAGTGATTATTTTTAATGCTGCTTTATGAACCGTGCCTCAATGGCCTATGAGGGAGGTCAGTCATGGGAACTACCATTGCCTGAATCCAGCCAATTGTTGGGTATTAGTTGGTAAGTAGTTGTTCCCCACTCCCACCTCAAAATGCCCTCAGCTACTTTTCAGAATTTTCTACGGCACTACATCATGGACACTCAACAACTTCATGTCCTGCACCCCACTTTCCTCACTTTTTCTCTAGCAGTTTTCTCAGTGTTCATCATAGATTATCCTATATTCCAATATCAGTGTCTCTGTTGGGTAAGACCACCCCTAGAAGTCTGAGACATATGGGCACTGACCTTATTCTGATTCCTCAGAATACACAGTAGCCAAGCTACAACTTAAAAAAAGGCTCTTATAGTTATACATAATAGTGGGGTTCATTTTGACATAATTATATAGGCATGAAATATAATTTGCTCCCTTTCAGGCCCATGTACTTCCTCGTTCTCTCTCCTTCTCCCTCTCCCTATTCCATTTCATCTACTCTACTTATCTTCCTTCTATTTATTATATTATTTTATATATTATTTTTTATTTAGAGCTTTATAGATATACCTAAAGGTAGAATTTTATGTGATATATTCATAATCTATATAGCATAGTTTGGTCTATTTCATTCCATAAAGTTTCCTCCTAAAGGCAGGGGGATGGCAAGTTTGAGACAAGCCTCAATAACTTAGTGAGAACCTCATCTATTTAGCAAGACCCTATCTCAAAATAAAAAGGTCTGGGGATGCAGTCTGGGGATGCCCTTGGGTTCCAATCCATAGTACAAAAATAAACAAACAAAAAGTCTGTAGAAAGGCCATTACTTTTTAACAAGGACCTTCTGAAGTTTGAAGATAATGGAAGAGAAGCAGAACCTAGAGACAATTTCACAGCAACAAAACAAGCACAGCACCATCTAAAATTTCAATGTACCCTTCCAGGAGTTCATTATAGGAGCAATTCAGATCTCTCCAAATTCTCAAGCAAGAGCCAAATACACAAACTTTGGATTTTAGAGAAATACATAGTCTTCTAAACTTTTCTTTAAAATCTTTGCAGTGGGGCCTGGGGTTATAGTTTAGCCGTAGAGAACTTGCTTCGCACATGCGAGGCACTGGGTTTGATCCTCAGCACCACATAAAAAATAAATAAATAAAATAAATAAAGATGTTGTGTCCATCTTTAAAAAAAACCTCATATGTATCTTAAAAAAATCCTTGAAGTGAGTTGAATGATGGCCCCCCACAGGTTATGTCCACATCCTAATCTATAAAACCTTTGCATATTGCATCATATGGCAAAAGATCCATTTCTATCTTTCAGTATTTCACCATATAATTGTCACCATCATTTAAGAGTGGCATCCTGTTTTTTCAGTCCAAAAATTGACTTATAAGCTTTAAATGGGTAATCTTAGCAGATTTTTTGTCCCATTGCCTATAAGGTAAATAGCAGCAATATATTCGCCAGTGACATATGGATGTGTGTTTATGTTCTGCACAGCAAGTAGCTTGCCAAGAATTCTGGGTGCACTGCATTGTTGGCATATTTCTGAAAGCCAACTTTCATGGTTTGTTTGGACCACTGCAGCACTAAAGGGTAAACACATCCTACATGAGTGGTGCCCAGAACCATGCATCAGATAAATGAAACTAAACCAAAATGGAGCAGATTCTTCAAAGATTAAACTTTGTAAGTCCATACTTGGCAACACTCTAGGAAATTTTCTCAAGCATAATATCTTGACTATAATACACAAATAAATAATAACTAATGTTTGGCTTTATTTTCAGACTGGAAAATGTTTACTAACCTGTCATGAATAAATAATGTGTGTCAACTTGAATTATTTAAATTTTTTAAAGAATTTTTTTCATAACACCTTTATTCTATTTATTTATTTTTACACAAGTATTTCATGTGTCCTAATCTTGCATCAAAGAGAGTTTAGTAAAAATTATTTTTAATAACCCTGGCACATTTCTTTAAAAAAACTTTACATAATGGTCGCATCCCACATTTTTGCAAAAAAAAAAAAATTGGCATAAAATCTGCAACAATTATGTGGTGCAATACAGTACTTGGCAGAAGATGTGTTTATGTTAAGGATATTGAAAGGGGAAGGTTATCCTGGGTGGAACCAGGAGTTGTTTGAGATAGAAACAATCAGAAGAAGACTCACAGAAGAGGAGAAAATGCTGAAACCAATGACCAATGGGGGTAAATATGGGGAGAGTTGAGAATTCAAGTCAAGAAACCAATGACCACCAGAAAAGTCAAGAAAAGTACTCACCTCTGGAGCCTCTGGAGAGAGCATAGCCCTATAAACATCTTGATTTCAGGTTTCTGATCTCGAGAGCTGTAAAATATAGAAAGATTAACCCAATATTTTCCAGAGACTGAGTTCAACACATTCTGTATAAGAGTTTTGACTCTTTCCTGTGAATGGAATTTATTAAATTAGACTCTGAGTTGTTATGACCAGATTCCAGGTCATCAGTGTTTCAAATTAATAAACACTTAGGTGCTGTTTCATTTATCCAGGAAATAATAAACTATGATATTATTAAAGCAGCAGTTGCACTGGACTAGCAGAATTTTTCTGATACTCCTTCTGTCAAGCACCTGCAGAGAAACCAAAGGCCAACTTCCATGAAATAGTGGTGGTCCTGGGAGCCTTCTAAAGCTCTGTCAGTCCTATCCTTTAAAAGATTTAGGGATGGCATTGTTTTTAAATGTAACTGTACCTCATCTGACTCTTCCCACTATCACTCAAGTTCCTCTGACCTTTACCTCAAGCTATTATTATCTTTACAATAGAAATCTGGAAACATGAATGCCATACAAAATAATCAAAATGCATATAGAAGAAAAAGCTTACACAAAAAGAAAGCACAATACCAAATATGGATCAATATTTCATAAACTTTTGATTAAAATAGACCTTGACTTTATTTTTTACAGAGTTTATACACAGAGGAAAATAAGAGGAGAAGACTTTACACAGGTGATTGATCACTAGGATGATTGATAGGAAACATCATTTCCCTTCTGGAGATATCCAACCCCAAGGCTCTGACAAGAGACTCAGAAAAGAACTCACCTTTGGAATATTTCCCCAAAGTTTGGTGTTACTACCCACTTTTGTTGCTAGTTTCTTGCCCACATCCTTTTCAAGAATTAAAATAGAATCTCCATATTCACTTCATTCTATGTCTAAGATTTTACATGTTGCAGATCTGCATCTGAAACCCCATAGCATTTACTAATGATAAAGAGTTACATTTTTACCATTTAAAACATACTTTGCTGGTTTTCCATTTTTTACTACAAGTGGAGCATTCCTTATATGAAATGCATGAAATAAGAAGTAGTTCAGATTTTGTATTTTTCAGATCTTAAAATATTTGCATGTACATAATAAGGTATCTTGGAGATGGGACAAATCTAAACACTTCATATATACCTTGTACACCTACACAAAAGCATTTATATAATATTTTTAATAATTTTGCACATGAAATAGTTTCATGGAATGGAATTTTCCACGTGTGGAATCATATTGGTGCTGAAAAAGTTTGGGAGTTTATATCATTTTGAATTTCAGATTTTTACATTAAGGATGCTCAATCTGTAAAATCATATTTTTGAACTTTTAAAGAACTTTCCTTCATTTTGGTTTCTTTACTAATTATAAGCATGATATCTGTTTGACATTATCTTTCCAAATAACTGCCTTTTAAAAATATAAATGCAATAGGTGGCTTGTGAACACTCAAATCCCTTTCCAGAATCAACACATCCTATTCTCATGGACTTTCCCCCTCTTTTAAAAAAAATGGTTTTAGAAAATAAATTTCATATAAAGAAGACATGAATCTTAAATGTAGATGATTTTTTTCATATGCATGCATATTTGTAACTACTCTTCAGATCAAGACCTAGAATACTCCAAGCACTCCACTTGTTTCCCCTGGGCCCATCCTAATCAGTCATCTCTGAAAGATAATCATTATTCTTTCTGAGTTTTTAAAAAAATCCAAGTAATTCCTATAAACAAATTCTTTCTGAACTTCTTATTTTCGAAAAGGGCCAGATAATCAGGCATAGTTTTCTCTTCTAAAAAAATTATTTTGTCTCATCTCCAAATGTTCTGTTCAGTGAAACATTTGGACCAGCCTTTGCAGGAAACCCACCAGATTGCCAGGTGTGCAAACAAGGCTTGCTGTCTGTGGTTGCCAGGGTCATTCTCCATGGAAAAATTTCCCATGGGTGGAGGGTCTGTTGGCAGGACTCCAGTGCATAATCCAGGACACACCACAAGCCTGGTATTTCACATTTTTTCCCAACAGTTTCCCAGCTTTGCCCTTGAATTACAGTGGCTTTTAACAGAAATGTTTCTGAGCAATTTGTGCAAATTGAATTTTATATCTTCTTAAAATGAAGTATTTGTAACAAAAATTGAATGTAAATTTCTTTAAAAGCAAAGAAACTACACTTAGAAGGCAGGAATTTAATAGGACATCTTTATGAAAAATGAGGAAATTGTTTGAGTTTTAAACTTTCAATAACCTCATATATCCAATTTGTCTTTAAGCATATTGTACCCATAATGTGGATGAAAACCCTTTATGTATCACTTTTAAAGGACAGTTTTGGTGTTACTGATGTCAATTTAACATTTTATAAAAATAATTACTCAAGGTGGTAAAACTTAATTACTGAATTAAACTCTTAGAATTTAACCCAATTAATTTAGTTTGACTACACTAATTCCCTGAACAGGCATGTTTAATGATGGCTAGTGTAGATCAGAGTTAAGCACATCTATGTATCTGTTTGCAAACACACAGCATCATTTAGTTACTGATGTATTATCAACCACTCCAAAACATAATGGTTTAAAACAAACATCAGTAAGTTCATGATTCTATAGGAAACAGAGTCTTTCTCTTTATTTGGCAGGGTTGGCTGGCCTTGGCAGAAATGGCCCAGGCATCTGTAGTCAGTTTAGAGCGCAGCTGAAGACTAGCTGCACTTGGTGGTCCTCACTGTGAGTTGCTAGCCTCCTCTCCACATGCTTTCTGAAATTCCTCCAAGACAGTCCAGGTTTGCTCATTAGTATGCATGCTTCCCACAGACAGTAGAATTATGCAAGGTCTCTTGAGGTCTAGGTGCAAAACTGGCCTCATAGTCACTTTTGTCACATTTTATAGGTCAAAGCAAACCAGAATACTGGCCCTGATTCAAGGGAGGTAGAAATAGATTCCATCTCCTGGTGGAAGGAGCTGCAAGTTAGGTTGTAAACGATCAGGGTAAGGATGCAGTAATTCATTTATGTTTTATAAAATAAGGCTTTCCCACAAATAGTGGTGTTTGTTTATTGTGTATAATCATCCACTCCAATGATAAGTTTTTAAGCATACAATTAAGTTTCACCATATCATGTAGTGTGACTATATTTCCCAAACTGGCCTGTCCCAAGGAAATTAAAACTAAGTGATTTGGACTTGCACTTCTGGACACATGAAAGTGGAACCATAGGAACCAGATTTATGCTACCACCTAAAAAAAAAAAAACCAAGATGCGCAAAACATATTTCAAGAAGCTGAATATCACACAATAAAATGCAGTGACCTCTGAAAGAGGAAACAAAACAAGATTAGCCCTACGACTGTCCCAGCTGCATGGAGGGTTTCCAGATGACAGCACAGGGAAGGGGACAGAGATTGAGACCAGTAGATTCCCCGAGTTGAGAAGACAAAGATGAAAAATCTCAAGAGACCAATTTCAAGGACTAAGAACCAGAGAGGAGAGAGCTAAATACAGAGAGAATTTGAGAAACAAGCAGAAGTTTCCACTTGAGTATTTTTTTAAGAGACAAGAGAGGGGAGAGAGAGAGACAGAGAGAGAGAGAGACAGAGAGAGAGAAAGAGAGAATTTTCAGTTTTCGGTGGACACAACATCTTTATTTTTATTTTTATGTGGCGCCCCACGCATGCCAGGCGAGCGCGTTACCGCTTGAGCCACATCCCCAGCCCTACACTTGAGTTTTGCTGAGTTCTCAGCAGAGAGAGAGAGAGTGTGTGTGTGTGTGTGTAGAAACATCCAGAAATAAAAACTACAAAGTCTGAGAAGGAAATTACACAGGAATGAATTAGCAGTAGAGTCAACATGCAGAAGGAAAATTTAGTAAATAGATGAGTAGATAGCAATATAAACAATACAAAATAAAATAGAGGTGCAAAGAGGAAAAACAACAACAACAAAAAAATAGTAGCAAGAATAGCATTTATGAGGCAAATATCCAAAGAGAAAAAAAAAGGGAGACACAGATTAATATATAGTCAAACCATAGTGGCTGAAATTTTTCCAAGTTGATGAAAACATACAAACCTGAGAAGCTTGAAGAATCCAAAGGCAATAGCTAAGAAATAAACAATAAGACATGTTATCATAAATCATTCCAAATCAAGGATTAAAAGAAAAGGTTAAGAAAGCCAGAAAAAAAATTCATGATATATGTAGAGGAAAACAAGTAAGGATGACATAAATATACAAAAAGAGGAACAGATCATTACCAAGTACAGTTTATCTCAGGAATACAAGATTGGTTTAACACTGGAAATCAACATGTATCACTTTATTAGAAAACTAAGAAAACCCATGTGACTATCTTAACAGATGCAGAAGAAAACTTTTAATACAATTGAACATCCATGCCTGATAAACATTTTCAATGAAATATGAATAGAAGAGACATCCCTTAACCTGATAAGGAACATCTCTCTATCAAGGGCATCTATCTATCTATCATTAATAATTTATAGCTGGCATCATATTTCATAGTTAAAGACTAAATGCTATTCCATTAGTTCAGAAAAAAAGACAAGGATATTTTCTGTAACCATTCCACTCAAAACAACATTTAGAAAATGTTATGAAAATTCTAAGTCTACTATCATTAAAAAGGCAGTTTATCAAAATCCCCAGATACAAAATCAACATCCAAGATGGAAGAATGGAAAGGAGGGATTGCCAAGAGACATGGCAAAATTTTGGGGAGTGGTGGATGTGTTCATTACCTTGATGCTGATAATGGTTTCATGAATGTCAAAACATCAAATTTTAATATGTGTATTTTATTGTACATAAATCATACCTCAATAAAGCTGTGTTTTTGTATATATAAGGAGATGGTTCTTTTCTTATATATCTTACAACTTCTTTAGGTCTTTTAATTTTAAACTGCCCTGCCAAACAATATATGAAATGAGTGATTATATGCTGAATTATAAAATAATAACAAAAAAACTTGATTATTTTTATGTCATAGAAGCACCAAGGATAATTTACAA